ATGAAAAGGAGTGATAGATTTGGTGGTTCCCAATCAAATGAAGGAGTCAGGAAAAGGAGCACTCATAGAATAAAGATTGCTGCTTATGCATCGATGGCTCTTGCAGTTGGTCCAAGCAGAACTTGGAGCCGAGCCCTTCTTTTCAAGCTTAGAAACCGAGCCAGACTCCAGGGAGTCTTGAGAAAGAGATGCCTGGTTTCAAAGAAGAACAAGAAGAAGAGGGTTGTAAGAAATAAGGTGATAATCTCAAGAGAACCAAGTCGTACTGATACTCTTCGAAAGCTTGTTCCTGGAGGAGATTCCATGGATATTTGCTGTTTGTTGGAAGAAACTGCTCATTACATAAAATGCCTTGCCACTCAGGTTAAGGTGATGCAAACTATAGCCGATCAATTACTACTCTAAGCGACGATCAGATGAAGAATTGCATGCATGGTGATTAATATTTATTGTTCTTATATACATCAAGATTAAGGAAATATAAAGAATAAAACTAGCATGTCATGTATGCACAAGGAAAGGATCCAGTTGCTCAGTTTGTAAAAAGGTAAATTTTCTAGATCTTATGAATATCGCAAACATATATAAACATATGAAGATCATTAATATTTATCTGCATCTTGAGGAGAATTGCATGTCAGACCAGGGATTTATAACTCATACCAAATGGTTTTTGTTTGCTGTACATAACAATATCAATCTGACAGACAGGATACCTTCTATGTTTGTTTATATACTTTCCTCTCTTCCTCTCTACAATCACTCACAAGCACACACTGCATCTTCACTTCTTTTGATTTCTGTAATAATCTTCTACAGCTTGCGCATCAATGATTATATATAGGTTGATTCCATATAATGTTGCGCGTGAGAACATAATAAGGGTAACCCTGGATATGGGATTAACTTATCAATTCACACCTTCCATTAGAGAATCTGTTGAGTGAAAGTTTTAATTCTAGAAGGGTTTGTTTTTTTCTTTAAAAAAAGGGCAAAGATAACAATACAAATTCCTAAGTGGAAATATGTTCAAAGAGAGTGATTAGGTAATTACAAGAATTCATGGTGGAAACAATTTTTTTCCTTTTTATGTAGACATTTTCAACTCTAAAAAAAAGTTTTTACAAATGCTGATGGAAAAATAACAACAATAACTATATTTCAATAGAAAATAGGTTATTTTATTGTAGTTAGGTGCACATATTTAGGCTAAGTACATGTTTAATATCGTGTTACGAATGTTATATATATATATATATAATATTTTTTAAAAATAAATACATTTTTATAAACAATAAAAACAAAAGCAACGCAATTAAAAGGAAGATCACATCATGTCATGTCCACCAGATGGTTCGAACTACTGGGCCAAAACCTAGATTCTTTTATTAATGTGCGAGCAAGGAGCTTGTCCACAGTCCTTGAATTTACTAGCAAGGGATTCCTCATCATCCAAAAAGAGTAATAATCATTAAAGAAACTAAAAAGGAAACATATGGACTCATCAAGTAGTGCGCCATCAGCATTACAGATCTAATCTGTAGTATTTTCAGCTTTCAGCTTTTCTAGTTCATTTGATTATCTTCTTGGTACATAGTAAACAGAGATAATCGGTACAAATATAACATGTTTTTTTAACGTATAATGTTCATTAAAAGTATAGAAATTTATGTTTATCTTATATCTATGTCTTTGTTTTTTTTAACTAAATATATTTTTATTTTTTTAATATTTACTTCTTCTGTTTTGCAACACTAGTAACCAAACACAGTAAAGAGTGATATGGGATTTAAAGATGGAAGAGGAGACTCCCTTCTCAAAAAACAAAATAAATTTCTAGCTTGTAAATCACTTGGAATATAACTAGAGAATTATACAAGAAAGAGAGTTATGGTTTTAACCACTGTCCAACTGTTTTGGTTGTACCAATTCTTCAAATTTCATTTAATAGATAGATAAGGAGCTTCTTTCACCGGTTATGAAGATTTAAAACTTCATGCCAACCACCAATCATGCACTAGGAATGTATCATTCTTATGATGAATTTTCGTGTGCCGACATGGATTTTATCGCTATATTTTCTAGATATATACCGTCCAATATTAAAATATAAAATCCAAAAAAAACAAAAGGGCATGCACGACGTGCAACTAGCTATAGCTAGGATTAATTGTGGAGTTTGTCACCCTCATGATCCATGTCCAAAAGTAAACTAATCTTTCTTGACGTTCTAGTTACACAAGCATTATAAACATACAAGTAATGCTAGCTAGAAGCTTAGCAACTATTTACATACATTCATCATGCAGAGGCAATTTTTTAAGATCACAGTGATGTGTATATATAACTATTCTGCGTCATTTTAAGAGTGTGCTTACATGCTACTAAAACACTAAAACAATATATACATGCACTTTTTACTACAGGCCTTCACAGGAATCATTGTGGACCATCGATATTGTTCAAGGAACAATGCTGTTTTTTAGTGTCCAAATTTATTTCTTTTCAGCTTCATCATTGTTAGTTAGCACCGTTTTATGTGTTGACATCTTTTGTATACAGTAGCGGGGGGGGGGGGGCCAATTTATAAAAAAAAA